TCTGGAAGGGGACACAAACATGCTTTGCATGCTGTTCATGTCAGCCTTCTTGAGAGATGCACTGAATGAATTTTTTCCTGGTTAGCACAATGATTTTTATTTATAGGCCGTTTCGAATGCAACTACAGGACTTAAAATGAAGTGTTAAGGAAGCTGCCTGACTTGGCAATGAAGATGGAGTAGGAATGTAAAGGATCAGAGTGCTTCATGTGCTGGAAAGAAGTTTATTAAAACTGACAATTCTCACAGTGCTTAATCAAACATTTAAGACAAGGGGAGAAGCAGACAGTAAGGGGCAATGAAAGCAATGGACAACTAAAGCAAACAAACTGTCTTGTCAGGGCATGTCAGCTTATGGTGGAATAAAGAAATGCCTATAATTTAGTTACTCTTCTCATATAGATAGCTAGCATCTTAAATATATAGACGTTTAGGGTAGGTTTTGGTGGAAATGAGGTAACTTTTTACAAACGCCCTAATAAGCTTCGTTTAGTATGCGCTGGAGGTGGTAAAGGGGCAGGCATGTTTTGTTTTGATGCAGTTTATTAACAAATTCCCTTTATCAATTAACAAACCTGCTGTCGGTGTGTGGGGGGCCCAATCCTGCATTCATTCCATATTTACATCTTTTGTTGAGCTCAGCAGGAGTTTGTATGTGTGAGGGATGGTTTCAGGCTCAGAAACAAGTGGTTATGTCTATCAGATTGTGTTTTCTTGGGTGAGCTGCATCGGGGTCTGCACTGTTTCATTTTCAGTAAGTTGGTAGATTCCTTCAACAGGAGTTTTCACTCCTAGACTCTGATTCAAAACCCACTGAAGTCAGTAGGATTCTTTCCATTGATTTTTTTTTTCTCAAGGAGGGCTGAGATCAAGCCCATAAAGAACCACTTTCACCTGGTTTCAGTGGCATCAAGATAAACACAAAATAATTCAAACAAGATCAACAAGACTACTGCACCTGGCAGCTCAGTTTGGGAAGGAGATGGGCAGCCAACAGTGGTGAAAGAACAGGTTAGGGACTGTTTAGAAAAGTTGGACATGTACAAGTCCATGGGCCTGGGTGGGATGCACCCGAGGGTGCTGAGGGAGTTGGCTGATGTGACTGCAGAGCCATTAGCCATCATCTTTGAAAACTCATGATGATTGGAAGAGGTCCTGGTTGATTAGAAAAGGGTAAATATAGTGCATGTCTTTAGAAAAGGGAAGAAGGAGGATCCAAGAAACTATAGACCAGCCAGCCTCACCTCAGTCCTTGGAAAAATCATGGAGCAGATCATTCAGGAATCCATAATCCATTTCTAAGCACTTGGAGGAGAGGGTGATTAGGAACAGTCAGCATGGATCCATCAAGGGCAAGTCATGCCTAACCAACCTGATTTTCTTCCATGATGAGATGCCTGGCTCTGTAGATATGGAGAGACCAGTGGATGTGATATCCCTTGATTTTAGCAAGGCTTTTGATATGGCCTCCCACAATATTCTCTCAAGCAAGCTAAGGAAGTACAACAGGATGGATGAATGGACTGAAAGGTGGATAGAAAACTGGCGGGAGCATTGGGCTTAAAAGGTAGTAATCCATAGTTCGCTGTCTTGTTGGCAGCTGGTATAAAGTGGAGTGCTCCAGGGTTGGTCCTGGGGCTTGTTTTGTTCAATACCTTTATCAATGACCTGGAAGGTGAGATGGAGTGCACCCTCAGCAAGTTTTCAGATGATACCAAGGTGGGGACGGTAGTAGATACACTTGGAGGGTAGGGCTAAGATTCAGAGAAACCTTGACAGATTGGAGGACTGAACCAAAAGAAATCTCATGAGGTTCAATAAGGACAAGTGCAAAGTCCTGTATTTAAGACAGAACAATCCCATGCACCAGTACAGGCTGAGGACCAACTAGCTACGCTGCAGCTCTGCAGAAATGGACCTGGCGGTTAGAGTGAGCAATAAGCTGAATCTGAGCCAACAGGCATACTGGGCTGCATTGCCAGCAGGTCAAGGAAAGTGGTTATTCCCCCTATTTGGCACAGGTGAGGCCACATCTGGAGTCTTGTGTTCAGTTTTGGGCCCCCCACTACAGAAAGGATGTGGACAAATTAAAGAGTCCAGCAGAGTGTAATGAAGATGATTAGGGGGAGGGGAGGGTAATGAAGATAATTGGGGGTGCCTAAAGTGCCCAGAGATGTTCAGGGCCCTGCTGTAACTCATAGCGCTTTACACAAAGTGCTATGAGTTAGAGCACCTCTGCCCCCTCAACCCAACAAACTGTTGGGCTGAAGGGGGGATCAATCCTGCCTGCACCAGCCCTGGCCAGCAGGGTGCCCCTCTCCCCAGCCCTCCCCACCGCCCAGCTCTGGGGCTGTCTTTGGGGAGGGAGGGGAAAGGGTGCAGCATGCAGCTGCTGACTGGGGTTTGCCCAGCCTGAACTGGAAGGCGGGGAGAGGGACAGGTATTGGAGTGGAGCTCCTTCACGTTGCTACTCTGGCTGGGGGAGCCAGGCTGGGGCTGTGGGGCAAAAGGGCTCTGTTCCACCCCCAATGTCAGCTTTGGCCAGGCAAACCAGCTGGCAGATGCTACTAGCACTCTCAAAACTCCCAGCCAGAGCTGACTGGGGACAGGGAGGAAGGTGGAACAGGGCTCCCCTGCCTCATGGGCCTGGCCCAACTCCTCCCAGTACCCCAGCCACGGAGGTTAGAGAGGGGTGTTAGGCAAGGGGGCTCCATTCCAACCCCTCCTAGTCCAGCTCAGGCCAGGCAAAGCCTAGTTGACAGCTCCATTTTCCTCCCTTCCCCGCTGACAGCCCTGGGGACCAGACCAGCCCCACTAGTGCCTGAAAAATTAACCCTTGAGGGAACACAAGTTTTCCAAGGTGCCCAAAAGCAGAGCGTC